TGTTTTTCAGATTTTGTTTTAAGAAATTGATAATTCAGTGTTGCTTTTAGTCAATTTTGAATCTATGTTCCAGATACTGATATGTGTTAAATGTATAGTGTTTACTTTATAATTGAAGTCCTGTAAGTACACGTAAAACACATTGAAAGGCACAATGAAGAACCAGCTAACACAACAATATCTCCATAGAGGGATGCAGATAGCAGACACTCCGCTCTCTGCACTTTGTATTCAACCATGCAACTATGTGACCACACAATCAGACTGTATTCAACCACACAAGTATCTGACCTGAAATTACAGCACTATTCATGTTCGCTGTATGTCCTTGACTCATACACAACACATGGAGTAACTGTAAGTAAGTATTTTTAATCTATAAAGTACCTTTCACAGACCAGAGAGTCACAAAGTGCTTTACAATTGTTGTGGGCATCCTCTCACTCCACACAGTGATGGTAGTTGGATTGCCATACAGTAGGGATAAGCCAGACATGTTGTACATATTAGTGTATGTAAACTCCTGCTATCTTTCTATCCTACTATTTATATCTGAGACCAGATGGACTGAAGCATCAGACCAGACCAAACCAAAGCAGTCAAAGAACCAGACCAGACCTGTCCTGCTGAGACCAGAGGGATTGAAGAACCAGATCAGACCCGCTCAGACCAGAGGGACTGATAAACCAGACCAGACCAGACCAGTTGAGACCAGAGGGACTGAAGAACCAAACCAGACCAGACCAGAGCAGCTGAAGAACTCGACCATAGCAGATCAGCTGAGACCAAAGGAAATGAAGAACCGGACCCATTGAGACCACAAGAACTGAATAATCTGACCAAACCCGACGAAAGCAGCCAAAGAACGAGGCCAGACCAGAGTAGCTGAAGAATCAAACCAGACACACTGAGACCAGAGAGACTGAAGAACCAGACCAGACCAGACCCACTGAGACGAGAAAGACTGAAGAACCATACCCGCTCGCTGAGACCAGCGAGAGGCTGTTTTTAGTCCAACAGCAGCAGTGCGTTTATCACAAGATGCTACTGTAGCACGACTGGGAGGCTAATGAAGAGATATGTCGGCCATTACAGGTCCTTCAAGCGATTAGCCGAGTCTCCGAGGGGCCGGCAGAAAAGAGAGACTCACTCCAGACCTGTCCCTGGGTCCCATCGCGCTTTTCATAACTCCACAGCTAATGAGCGACCGGTGCATACGCCTGATTTATGTAAACCTTTCAACAGTGCGTGAATGTCAAGTGTGTAAAACACTGCAGAAAATAGAGCATGTACAGTAGACAGCTTTGATTATTGCAGTAGGTGTCGGGGATTTTTGGTCCAGTTTAAAATAATGAAAAAAGAAAGATGACAACTATAACAGGAATATGCATTTTCTTAAATTGTTTTGATATGTGTTTATGTTACAAGCTAGAATAGCCAAAGGGCCCAGTTATATTCCTTTCATATTGCTATCGCTTGCTTTTTTCTGTCTATTTCATGGAGATACACCCATCCTCACAGAAATCTTGGGAATAGTCACGTTGGTCCACCTCCAAAACTGTAACAATACCACAAATTGGGCTCTGAAACTGTAATATTCTTACACATATTTCACAATGCATTTCTATTGGAGTTGTGTGAGAACACAGTTTCTTTTGAGGAAAACAGACTTAGGGACAAAAGAGGAAATGTGTTTAAGTTTAGTCCGGCCAGTCGATTGGTTGTTTTCTCATTTGCCCTTATCTATCCGTTCTTCTGAGTTGATGTTGTCATGGTCTATTTTTCATCTTGTCTTTTATTAGTAAGTAAGTAAGTAAGTAAGTAAGTAAGTAAGTAATCTTTATCTATATACCGCCTTTCACAGACCAGAGTCACAAAGCGGTTTACAATTGTTATTTTTGGGCATCTGTCCTCTTACTCCACACAGAGATGGGAGGGGGGTGGACGAAAATGTCGATCAATTTAGTCATCATCTGCGTCTCAATGAACGACTCCTATTTTAGTTTTGTTTTCGTCCCCAAAAATATATTTGAGACAGAAAATATGATAATAATATTTTGTCAACGAAATTCACACTGCTGCCATCGACAGACGCGCCATTCTGGTTGCATGATACGCTCTGCGCTTCACATGTGTTTGCTTATTAAAATGTACAATTTAAGCTAAAAACTCTATGCCCCTTACAAAGGTGGCAAACACATGCAGGCCTTGGAATAACTATCCACTCAAAATCATAGCCACTCGTGACTGCGAACATGACCGGATCTGGGAACAGGACCAGAGCCAAGACCAGAGGTATGGAGGACCATGGCTGCCAAAACAATAAATATATACAGAAATAAATAGATAAATAAATAAATTTAAAAAAAGATAACATTTGCAAAGAAATGCATGCAATTATGAGAATAAGTGCATTTATTTCTGTATTTCTGTATTTATGTTTTTATTTATTTATTTTTGTATTCATTCATACATTTATTTCTGCATTTATACATTTATTTCTCTATTTTTTTTTTATTTATGTATTTCTCTTTATTTATTTATTTCTCTATTTATTTATTTATTTATTTATTTCTCTATTTATATTTTTATTTTTTTCTCTATTTATTTATTTATTTCTCTATTTATATTTTTATTTTTTTCCGTATTTCTCTTAATGATATGCAAATCATGGGGTGGGCCGGGGAGCCTCTGCTGTAAGCTCATTGGTTAATCTTTTTCCTTGCTCTGCAGCTGCAGGTCATGTTGGAGAATTGGACCCCCAATGCCCAAAGCACCCCAAAAGATTTTAACCATGAGCTCTCTCGACAAAACATTCCTCGGACATCACAGACTACTAACATGAAAAGAAGTGAGAGAACAGGTCAAATTCCAAAAATATTAAGGCGCTTTGGGGTGCTCACAAACACCACTGCTCTACAATCAGCGGTGTAGCCTACGCGATACGCAGGTATACGCCGTATAACCACAAGAAGCCACTACAAATTGGGCAAAGATAGGCTACGTATCACTCATTTGCGCAGTGTTACTTTTGCGCTTTCTGCCTGATTAAAGACCAGCCCAAACTCCTCAACAAGTAACTATTTCCTCCCATGACACCGAGAGAGGGGACCGGTGGCTTTTCATCCCTCTCTCTCTTTCTCAGGCACGGTTCCCTCTAACTGCGCTCGTGCGCTCATAGCTGATATGATAGAGGAGTATTAACAATCATCCTCCGCTCTGAGAGTCCACGATGACGGCCTCTTTATGCTCATTTCCCTGTCCGGCTCGTGAGAGGCTTTTGGCAAAGGCAATGACAGGTGCTCGTGTGTATTTTACTACAAAGCACTGAAGTCAGCCAAAAAACCCCGCGTTCAAAGTGTGTGTTTTACACTCAGACACTGGAGCTTTCAGTGAAGGCTGAGAGAGACTGAAAAGTGGACGCGGCCACAGCACTGACCGAGCCATATTCATGGTACAAACAGTGGCGCGAGTGTGGAGGGGAGTGGGGGGGAGGGGGGGGGGGGGGGTACAGGCGCTTGTTCTACAGGCCCAGGGTCCGGTCGTTTTCCACACTCAGAAACGTGTTCGCCAGTCTTCTCAGCTCATCAGAAATTTCCCTCCAAAGCGAATCCATTTCTATCACGCGTCTCCGACTTCTTTGGCTAGCTACTAGTTGTTACTGTGGCAACATAGCACAGCAGTCCCCAACTAGATATGCTTGAGGTCCAACATGCAACCGTTTACCACTCCAAAATGGAGGCTGTTCAGCGACACAGAGCAAAGGATAATTTACTTATTTGTATAAAAAATACAAAAATACACACACACACACACAATGCAATTGTTGCATATGGAAGAATGCTTGAGATTTTTATTGTTATTTTTTTCGTTCTGACATGGCTATAGCGAGAACACAGTGATCTCAACCGCCTATGCTGGACAAGTTATGGAGCAAGGAAAAAGTTTAACCAATGAGCTTACAGCAGAGGCATCCCGGCCCACCCCATGATTTGCATATCATTAAGAGAAATACGGAAATAAATACAGAAATAAATAGAGAAAAAAAAAATAAATAGAGAAAAAAATAAATAAATAGAGAAATAAATTAATAAATAGAGAAATAAATTAATAAATAGAGAAATAAATACATGCAAAAATAAATAAATAAATAGAGAAATAAATAAATAATGCAAAAATAAATAAATAAATAGAGAAATAAATAAATAAATAAAGATAAATAAATAAATAAATAAATAGAGAAATAAATTTATGAATAAATACAAAAATAAATAAATAAATATATAAATAAATACATAAATAAATAAATATATAAATAAATACATAAATAAATAAATAAATGCACTTATTCTCATAATTGCATGCATTTCTTTGCAAATTTTATCTTTTTTAAATGTATTTATTTATTTCTGTATATATTTATTGCTTTGGCAGCTACGGTCCTCCATACAGAGGGTCCCCTAGACGGAGAATGATATCCGGGGGGGCGGGTTGGAGACAGGTAAAAGACCACCCTGCAGGACAGATGTAGGTGTCCTGCAGTGGCCACAGGGCAAAGACTGATAGGAAGGCGAGTTAAGCACCTCATGCAAGCCGTGAGATGAAGGGTCAAGGCCATTCCAGGACAAGAATCTAAACATCGGGCACAACATGGACCAGAGCAGAGCTGGAGCAGGAACAGGAGAGGAAACTTGGGACAAGAGTTGGAAACAGATAGCCCCCTGGATAGAGAATATTATCCAGCGGGGCCTGGTCAGGGATGAAGGGCAGTGACCACACAGGAGGGGGTTAATGTCCTGCAGTGGCGGAGGAAAAAGACAGGAAGGGTAAAAGCATCCAGCCAGCTCCTGCAGTAACTCTGTAGCAGACCAGTCGGGGACAAAACGTGACATAGTTACAGTTATGAGTCTGGTGTTTCAGATCTTCTTGAAAACAGCTGGTAGTGGTGCTGGATGTGGCTAAAACAGTCAGCAAACTCGCATTCGGTGTTAAAGACGTACCTCGTTGACTTCTCGGTGCCCCTCACCACAGTGCACAATTCCCTTGACTTTGAAGAAGCTGAGAGTTCTCCATCCACAACAGGGCAGTAGGGGGCAGTGTGACATCTGACGCGTTAACACCATGCAGGACTAGTTCTCCCATACTCTTAGGATGACAATATACATTTTTGACTGTCATCAAAAAAACAAAGAAGAGATCACACACTTTTAGAGGGAAAGAATCCGTGTTTAGTGTTTTCCTGCTTCGTTCACTACTGGACTTCCGATCTGGAGTAATAGACGTGTACACCCCATTTACTGTACATCACTCAAAAGTTGATTTTGTAAAAACTCCTAAAAAATAAACAAGTACAAATGAAATGGTCAGATTGCCTGGGGATCAGGTTAACAGGAGAGCAATGCAGAACCGGGGTCACCACAATAAAACCCAGATTTTGTGCATATACCTCATACCTCATCCCTGATATGCATTTGTACTTAATTGCAGGTTTGACTAAGAATCTTCTGTGAATTGGTTCAGCTGTTAAAGACAATGACAAAAAAGTTTGATTCCTCGATGGAACAACTTCTATTTATATTTCAAGGGACTACTATTTTGACCACGCCTCTGAAGTACACGTGATGCGATATCAGGAGTGTGACGAAATGCATGTTTCTTGGTGAGATCTTTTTCTTCTGCAAGCGCACCTCTCACTCTGCTGCTCTTCTCTCTCTCCCTCTGCTGCACTTCTCTCTCTAGCTCTGCCACACCAATCTCTCTTGCTCTGCTGCACCTCTCTCTTGCCAGACTGACGGATGGTTATAATGTCCACCCACCCCTTGTGTGTACATAATCCCCTTTGACAAATCTTCAGACTATGAATGCTTTTGAAATAAAAATATTGGCTACCACCGGTATTGGGTACTTCAGTCTAATGATGCTCTGTGCAACATGCCTTCTGTTACATTGCACCTATAGATGTGCACTTATCCAAATCCTTCCATTATCCATTCATATATTTTCTTCTGAAGACAGAAGTGAATATTCTCTTGATGATTAAAGAAGACAACTGCTGGTATCTAAAAATGATAATGACAATTGAGAGGAAACGGCCAAGAAAAAAAACTTCACGGAGCAGTAGAAAGACCTTATGAACAAAGTGGAAAAAAAAAAATTTGGAGGCCACAAACAGGTGAGTTTGGAAGCCTGAACAGGTGAGCTTATTCATGTTTGAAGTAACATACGCTATGTTATGTCAAACAGTTGACAAATATATTGGGCCAATAGTTAGAATTTATTAATTTATGCCTACAGGTGGAAAAACACCTTAAACCTTAAAATGGCAACAAAAAGGTGATTAGCAGCCCATAAAAGAAGTGCTCAGACCAGGGGAGCATCCAAAAGAAAATGGTTGAATGAGAGCCTGTCTGAGCTGTACAGGCCGAAGGCGGTGCTCCATGGGCTGCTCCACCCGTGCATCCACTGGCACACAGTTGTCCTTTTTGGAGGACTGAGCCCTCATCATCATATGACACACTTGTACCAGGAGGTACCAGAGCGTAACCCCTGCAGGTCCCAGAGCCATCTTCCTCTGATCAGACCTGCGCAGCGCTCCACGGTAGCGTGCGTCTTTGCTTGGACCCACATGAACCAATTGCCGTTGCGCACTGATTGTAGGTGCATATAACAATCCACACATTCGTGGGAGACTTTTGAGTATGACATCTTGCACAGTAGCTCAGTTGGTAGAGCATTGGCCTTTGAGCCTGAAGGTCGTGGGTTCAAGCCCACCGTAAGACCTACTTCACGACTCCCACTGATGACTGCTGTCGTTGTGTCCTTAGGCAAGACACTTAACCCCACTTTGCCTGAAGCCCCCACTGAAAGATCTCAGCTCCTGTGGACTCACCACCTGCAGGAGGATCAGTGAGGGGCTGGTGCTTTGTGACTGGGTGCAGCTCTGACTGCCACCCCCCCGACCCAGAAATGGATTAAGGGGAAGAAAATGGATGGATGGATGGATGGATGGATCTTGCACGTTTTTTAATAACACAAACTATCGGCATAACTTTGTAAAATTGTATATTTGTAAGTAAGTAAGTCTGGCCAGAGTCACAAAGCGGTTTACAATTGTGGGCATTTGTCCTCTCACTCCACACAGAGATGGGAGCGGGGTCACCATTTCAGGAGGCGCATGCCAGACCTATTGTACATGTTTTTAGTGGTAGGGGAAACCGGAGTACCCGGAGTAAAACGCAGACACAGGGAAAACATGCAACCTTCACTCAGAAAGGCCCTGTTTCGACCGGGATTCGAACCTAGGATCTTCTTTCTGAGAAACGAGAGTGCTATCAACTCAGCCACTGTGCCGCCCAGATGTTTGATGTTTGATGTGAAAGGTGTGCCTACACTCTTGCCAGAGTGGGAATATGATTAGTGTTGTCCAAATCTTGAATTTCATGCATGTTATTTGCGTGTTGAGATGAAGGTTGAGACTCTGCGTTTATACTGTACATGTGCGCTCACTTCCAGATTGATTAATCCCGAAACGTGTAAACATTTGGCATACACCTCATTTACACCCTGATTTGGCCATACTCAAGTTTCATAAATGAGGGCCATTAGCCCTACTCTCAGACTGGATCTACAGAAGCCATTCTGTTTCAAAGTGTCTGTCCTCCTTCTGTGTGACAGCCCTGTGAAGAACTACTGCTCTTAGCTTCTCTGAACATTTGACTCCCTCCAACTTTCATTAAAGATGTTAGCTCTGCAGTGGCACACACAGGCTCCACAGGCTCCAGTGGTGAGAGGAGAAATGGAGAAGCAACTGTACTTGTTATCTCTAAATTAAAACTATACAGTGAGTTTTGCCATATTCACTCATTATTACTGTGTATACATATATACAAAAAAAATTGTCCACTCACACTTGGCCCTCCACGGGCGGTTATCCCTCTCTAAGTTCGGGTCCTCTACCAGAGGCCTGGGAGATTGAGGGTTCTGCGCAGTATCTTTGCTGTTCCTAGCACTGCACATTTCTGGACTGAGATGTCCGAGGTTGTTCCAGGGATCAGCTGTACTCTTCTATATAAATATATATTAGGGCTGGGACTTGATAAAAAAAAATAATATAATGAATTAGAGGTTTTGTGATTAATTAATCACATTTTAATCACATATAAATATTTGTCCTGAGAACAGTAAGAAGTATTTTTTTTTCACATGGATTTTTAGTTTACCATTGAATAATGACTGAATACATAAGCTTAAGCAACACATTTTCATTGGGGATGATAAGGGGAGCAGACGGACTTCTTTCCATCAAATAACTTATCTGTTATCGCCTCCACACACTCTGACAACAACAGACGCTCTTTATAATCAAAATCCACTGCACTAACAGTGAGCAGTAGGGCTTTGACTAGGGTTGCCAACCTTCCCTTGAAATACGGAATTGTCCCATATTAAAGAAAAACTATGTGCGTCCCATATTGAACTGATACGGGACGGCTTCTGTCCCGTATTTTCAGAGCCACCTTAAATGCATCACTCACTCACTGCATGTCACACACGCGACACACGCACACACACAGTATGATCACAGTTTAAGCATCTACCTTTCGGCCAATCAGTGTCAAAGGGGCGTAGGCTTGATCACAGACGTTGGATTAATGTTGACAAGCTCCAGCGTGGGCTGTGCCCGCAGCACCATCATGGCAGAAGTTTGGTAAAGTAGCTTCATATTCCCAGATTCGGACTTCCACGGTCAATAGCTCACAAAAGCTACTTTGTTAAACAAAAGTAATTTGCTAAAATGATCATCTCTACGTTGATTTTACAAATTCAATGCGCTGTTTTAATGCAGAGAAATCCTCTGAATCCAATGCACTGCAAGGTCCGAGAAAATCACTTAGGGACCGTCAACTAATGTCCAGACCAGCTTTGTAAACGAACAATAGCTTTTACTGAAGCCACAAACCTGCAGTACCTGCACAAAACTCCAGACAATATCAATAATGATGACCATATCGAACTGCTACAGACTTTGATTTGTGAGTTTTTTAAATGAATACATGTTTTTCTTTTTTTATTTGCTTTTATAGAAATTGGTCTTTACTGTAATATTCATAAATAATATATGTTACAGTCTTTTTTTATATTTTTTTTATTACTAATAAGAGTGCATGAAGTCCTTAACCAGCCAAAGAGTTCCATCTATTTATTCAATTTCATTTTTGACTAAGGATTTGTTTTTTTTAATATGTAGTCAATAAATTACAATCTAAAAACTGTGATTATGAAATTCCATGATTACTGTGTAGACTGAAATTAGGACTAAAAAGTGCTCAACCCGATCCACCGAATTGGGTCCCTTATTTTTTTGTTCTCAAGTTGGCAACCCTAGCTTTGACTTCGAAATCCGTTATTCAAATATAATTCGAATATTTAAAAAAATATATATATTTGAACGAATATTAGACAGCCCTTAATATTCTAAATGTATTTAATGACTGCAAATAAAATAGCTATTTATTTTATTGTTATGTGGCTAGGCCATGGATCTATTGTGCTAGGCGGATAAAAGCTAAGCTAGCTACTCTCTGGAACTACATGAAAACTGAACAAATAATTCTGACCATCAGCGATGAGTTACCCATTTATATACCGAACCTATATCCATAAATCAGATTCAAATGTGTCCTAAAATGTCCGTTTCACGATAATTAATAGTTACCTAATGTAACTTAAATTCTACGAATAGGTGCGTAGTCCCTTAGGACTTCGCTAGTGGGATATCACTCGTGACCCCCAGGTCACACGCCAGAGAGATCAAAATAATTTGCTCCAATCACTAGCGACCCTCCTCTATAAAGGCCCCTGCACAAAGCCGCACCCCCTCTTGAACTCTGCCAAGCCGGGCTGGCCTGATGGGCTCGTAGCTAAGGGACTACGCACCTATTCGTAGAACATAAGTT